AAAGGCTCTTTACTCGAACACTACTAGTCGAGTCAGGGCTTATGGCGAACTGTCATCTACTTTTGCAACATCAAGTGGTGTCCGTCAAGGCTGTCCACTTTCTCCATTTTTGTTTAACTTCATCATAGATCTACTGCTGGAAATAACTTTCTCGTTGACTGAGTTCTCGGGTATTGATCTCCATCCAGGTGGTCCACTTATCGACTTAGAATACGCAGATGACATAGTCCTGTTTGGTGAAGACGCTGATAAAATTCAGTCTTCTGGTAGCACTGAACAACAATGCCAGAATGTTTGGAATGCGCTTCTCTCCCTCTAAATGCAAGTTGTTGCTTCAGGACTGGTCTGCGTCAACACCTGAACTAAGGATAGGGAGTGAAGTAGTCGAACGCGTTGACAACTTCACTTATCTTGGAAGTCTGATCAGCACTAATGGGTTGGTGTCTGACGAAATCTCAGCACGGATTCGAAAAGCTCGTTTGGCTTTTGCCAACTTACGTCACCTGTGGCGAAGGCGAGATATCCGTCTATCAATAAAAGGACGAGTATACTGCGCGGTATTTCGTTCTGTTTTACTTTACGGCAGCGAAACATGGCCACTAAGAGTTGAAGATACTCGTAAGCTACGAGTATTTGAGCACAGATGCCTTAGAAATATTGCCCACATCTGCTGGGATCATCACGTAAGTAATAGTGAGGTTAGACGCAGGGTATTAGGAAATGATGGTAAATCAGTTGATGAGGTTATGAATCTTCACCGACTGAGATGGTTGAGCCATGTGTTACGTATGTCTGAACACCGATTACCAAGACGCGCAATGCTAACCAGTGTTCGGAATGGTTGGAAGAAAGTTAGGGGCGACCAAACCAAAGCGTGGCATCAGTGCTTGATTTCACGAACTTCTAGTCTTAGCCATGTTGGTAGATACAGACTACTTGGTTGGGGTCCGCGTGACTATCGTAACCAAATGGTTGGAGAATCTTGGTGACATGGCTCAGAATCGATCACAATGGCGTCGGTGTATACACTCTCTGTCTTCCCTTAAACTAAGAGGTTAAGATCGCTTCATATATATATATATATATATATATATATATATTGTAGGTAGATGCAATCGGTGAAACAGTATTTACAACAATTGGCTCACAACCCTTAGGTCGCGAGCCGAAATGCCGAAACATTTGCTTCTGTATGGGTAGCTGCGTAGTATTGCAAGATCACACAAGGAAAACCGCGGCTCGAATTACAGTACATGGACCTATAATGCGGTAAAAGTTCTATTATTTAATTAATTCTTTTGAATAACAATTCGATATCAATACTTTAACTGTCTAACCAAAGGTACCTGATAATAATCATGATAACTAAACTGAACATTTTTGAGTAGTAGTAAACAATAACATATATTATGAGATCCCAGTGAGTAGAAATTCGAATTTTTGACGCTCTGTGAAATTCAAATTCACTGGGATATCATATATATACAAATATTTTATCACTAAAATTTTACCCAATGATCAATTTGTTTAATATCATCATGTCGAACATTGGAATTTATACCTATTTCTTTGGATAGATTCATATTTCTCTGATTCATTTATGATTTTATCAGTTATAGCGTGACTCTTGACCTACATCATCAGTGATAAACTGTCTTAATCGTAATTATGTTGACTCCATAAGTCACATAGTATTTTAAGATAACAGTTCTGAAGACATTCACTGGAAACTACATGATTATGAAATTGTTACTTTGACGATTTTGTTGTTTATTTTATAGATATTTTGTAGATAAATATTGCTTCATGGCGGGACTGAGTCAACATCTAAACTAATGATAGGCCATAAAATAGTTGAGCGCCTTGACCGCTTCACTTATGTTGGAAGTTTCATCAGACTTGTTCTATTGACGTGTGACGAAATATCAGTATGGAATCAGAAGGCTCGGTTAACTTTTGCTAATTTATATTACCTATAGTGTAGGGAAGATAATCATCTGTCAACCAATGCGTCAGTAGGGTGCGCACAAGTCTGATCTTTTACCAGTTATGACTGCGAAACGAAACCTTAAAAAGTAAATGACAATCGAAGTTTTCTAGTATTTGATGGCAGATCTCTTCAAAACACTGCTCAACTTTGGTAGGACCACCGAGTGAGCAATATTGAAATTAGAGGCAAGGTTGAGGGTAAGAGCCCGCTTGATAGGACTGTACCTTTATTCACTAGCGTTACTTAAACATGTTATTCATGTCCAACTACCGCCTATCTAACGCACAATGTTGGGTGGCGTAAAAGTGGACTGGAAGAAGGCTAGTGGTGGTCAAACTAAGATTTGGTATTAATTCGTAAATTTATTGACTACTGAACTGACTCATCTTCGTAGGTGTAGACTACCTGGTTGAGGTCAGAACGACTAACAAGTCCAATGATTGGAGACAGTGGGTGACAGCTCATAATCGGTCACAAATGCATTCCTTGTCTACCATTAGATACTGGGTTTTGAAAATATTTGATGCTTTTCAATCCGCAAATTCATTCTTTCTTCTTCCATTATATTCTGTGTAGTATTATTTTGCTTTTACTGATACTTTAAGATTTATCTTGCTAATTTGAGTAGATGCACATTCGTAGCAGGATTTTACGTTGCTTATGACTGACTGGAAAGGAAGTTACAAATAACTGATGATACCATCGCATTGAACGTGGTAACCTAGTGCACCAACAATGAAATTATATGTGAGCCTTGATGATTAATGCGGACATATTAGTTTTTGGAGCATCGGAAATCAATATTTGAAGATAATATAAAAAATTAATTGCAGTGCTGTATTTTCATCGTGGATATGATCTATTTTGCACTTTACAGTAATTTATTTCGAAGTGTGCTTATATGCTTTTCTAAAATTCGGCAACTTTACAGTTTGATTATCATGCTTCAATCCCTAGAGTGAATCTAACGACAAGCATTTTCGTTATTCAAAAGGCGGAAACCACTTGTATTTATTCCTCACTTGGACCAACAATTAGTATTGAACAGATAAGGTTGAAACGAAAATTAGGTGACATATGAATATTGGAGTAAACTCAATAGTGACAGATAACATAATACGTATTCAACGAATAAAGATTCGTATATTCAGCACTATGCATACTTAAAGTGTCAGGGTTAGCGTTATCGGTGGGCCATCAGAATCAAAAGAGCCACCTCTTTTGAGTTGAGTTCAAACACGAGACACAGTGTATGAAGGTCAAATGTTGTGACTACTGGGATATTGCCCCGATTACGATAGAATTACCAAAGTCAATAGCATTTCTAGTAGACAGATGATTGAATTTGGAATAATCAGAGCGTTATATAGATAAATAAGGCAAAAAGAAATATACAACAATGAAAGTCGTAACACTTCTCCCAAGATGACTTCAGTAATACTGAAACAGTAAGGATTTACGAAATTTGCGTGTCGAAAATCGTTTTTATCCTTAGTCAACATAAGCCTGAACTACAAAGTTGTGCAATTACTTGCCTTCGACGTTTGCAACTAAAATTGACATTTTAGTTAAATTTATTCAAGTATCGATTCAAAATGCCAAGCATACTGGTGCAAATTTCATCCTTCGATCATAAGTTTATCTGTGCACAATAAAGGACGAAGGCATTGCAATAGCAACAATACTGTCGAAGCTTTAAGAATCCTGTAGTGACCGAGAACACAAGTGGGGGCAATCGAATACATATGAACATAAAATTACAGAACATCTCGGTAAATTCTGAGAACCATACAGTAAATTCTTCATTTTTAAAATGTCAATCGTCTCAGACCTCGTTGTTCTTGCATTTCTATACCGATTGCTTTCTGTTCCCATTCTTTCCTCCTCGGTCATCTCAACCTTCTGCTGACAGACTTTAGTGTCAGTTATTGTGTTAAGCCTAAATACCTTATTCTAGCTTTCGGACATCCCATTCTATTCATTCTACTTGAGTCATATTTTGACCTTGTCAATTATTCGCTTATCAGTCTTGACTGTTTTTATATGACCGTATATGTGTGTACACTTCATATCCCATGTCTCATCACATGTCTGTAGTTCATCTTGTCTGCCTATAAATATTGCGTAACGCCTGGCTAAAAATGAGTTGACTCACCAGCCATCTCCACTGCGCGTCATTTCGCTTTGTTCTATCGCATTCACTTTACATACAAAATATATGTATTCAAATGCCATTCTTGTTAATTGACTTATCTAAATTCCGTCATTGACTAACGTGATTTAAGTCGATAAATGTATACGGGGATAGGTGATAACGAACATTCGTACGATCTAAATGTAGTCAGATCCACAGGCCACTAAAAGACATTCTATTCCTGTCTAGTGTTATATACTACTTATATCGACATAAGTAGTACACATGGCAAGACAATATTAATAGTGCATACACAGTAGAAATAAAAATTTCAATTCTTTCGAAATATAGCATTCCAATCGACCCATTCCTTCATTACTTTAGCTGACAGGATCCAGTAATTCCCTACAACGTCTTAAAACATGAATATCGTAACTTAAAGGTATTTTAGTAGCACAATATTAAGTGGTTGAAATAAAAAGCTACCGATGATCTGAATGATAACGTAGACGTTGAGTAGTGAGAAAACAGGTTGGTGGATCTTTGAAAGTTGGCAATAATTATCATTAAAAAAACCCAAATGAACAACTGAGCATCGATAATAAGCTAGAATGTTGGATAGAACTCTATTTTCAACCATCCTTCAGACTAATCGCTTCTGAATTACAGGTCAAACAGGTGTAAGTAAAGTTTTTTTCGGTAAAATCAGTTTGATGTGCTCTTGTTATACATACATAGTAAACCATTTAAGATGGATATAGTTACATTATGTTGTACGAGACAATAATAATAATGAAGAAAAGCGATGAGATATGATTTGGCAAGCGTGGAAAATGCATTATAATAAAAAAAGCAGTACTACTTTCTTATACTCACAGGCAATTGTTCAACATTTCCCAACAATAAATCGACATCTTCTTGTGTACGATCTGATGGGAGTTTAAGAATAGATTCCCAAAATGCATCGCGAATAGACTATTTTATAAAAAATGAAGTTTCGAAACAAAAGAAGTAAAATTATGTAATACATGAATAAAAAGTTATGTCAAAAATTGAGATTCTATTAACTAAAACTTGCGAGTTGTACGCGACTACTGGACGAGTAATATATATATATATATATATATATATATATATATATATATATAACATGGAACAACACCAATGAGATAAATACAAAACACCAAAAAGCACAGGACAGATGTTTTGTTTTGGTACGCGATTATCGAACAATGTGCACCTACAACCCTGGCAGAAATCAAACTCAAAAACTTCAGACGTCGTAGTCAAGGTGTTGATGTTGGGCCATTGAATTGATACTTGGATTTTCACAGATACTAATTTAAATTAGTTGTCTAACCAAAGTGACTTCAGCAAATAATGTACTCTCTGCCTTCTCGTGGGGGGGTTGTTTACGGAATTGAGGGGATGAAAAGCGAATGTCCGGCGATTTAACCGGGTTGGTGGACATGGAGTGTCCACCTAGGGGAGTTGGGAAACCCTTATTCCAAACCAATGGTGCACATAGGCTCCAGTATCCTGAAGGAACAAATGGCGTATGAACCAATCGTTGGTCACCAGCTACTATGGGACTGAATCTCCTTACGATGCTCCACTGGAATGTGGATCAGACCTTCAGGTCGAAGGCTCCGGGTGTGGCCCCCTAAGAAAATCACCTACTTCGGTTTGGGCACCTGGGGAGTGTCCCAGTCCTCACACAAATCGAATGATTTATGTGGCGCATATCTATTTGGTGCCTCCTTGTACTAATGTTTATGTGTTTAAATAAACAAATAAATCCGTACATGTAAAGAAATCTAAAATCAAGAAGTATCTAAGGAAATATATATATATATATATATATATATATATATATATATATATATCACGGACTAAACGGGTTACAAGTAGTTGGAATATATGCTAGAGGAAATCCAGAAACAAAGCAGGATAAGTACACTTTGAAATTAAATACACTACAAACCTCATGACTACTTGACCCAAGCTCTTCATCTTCATCCTCCTCCTCCTCCTCCTCCTCCTCCTCATCATCATCATCATCATCATCATCATCATCATCATCATCATCATCATCATCATAATCATCACCTTCAGAATCCATACAATGGCTATTGTCTGACCCAGTCTTATGCCATTTAGGATAGTTATAACCTATCTTTGTGTTGCGTTTTTCTGGAGATTTTAAAACGCACGAAAGAGTTGAACGTCCATGACTTGAATTATTTTGAACGCCTTCAGAACTAAAAGAATGTGTAGATGATGTGTCACTTAAATATAATGATTTCAATGAATTAATAGCATCAGCCTGTGTACTCCTGGTAGGTCGTCTTTGGAGCTTGCTTTGGTCAGAATTAAGCAAAGATGGGATTTTTAATGACGAGCTGATACTATGAGACGATTCCGAATAACGATCATTTGATAAAATTTCACATGAAGCATCATTATCATTGAATGAGACCAGTGCACGATCTAAAGAACGCTAATAAAAAAGTTATTAAAATGATTAAATAAATGTTGAGTACATTTCGAGTAGGAAATACTAGATAAATGTTACAAAATAGCTATAAGCTGTATGGACAATAAATAAGTATTCATAATATATGCATCTTCAACGATACTTCAGAGTTATGTCAAAGTTTAGTCATTAGAAATCAGTGAAAATAATTTTCAAATGCAATGTAACTCATTTAACCAAGTACAGGTTATTTAAAATTTGAATGAACCATAAAATTCATAATAATAACAACTGTGACGGAATCAATCTAAAAAATTAGCACGCTGTAAAATCTAATGTGATTCAGAAAAAAGCATTACCTTTTGCTGGTAATACATTCTTAAATTATGAAGTTACAAGTAAAATTTGAACTGTCAAAAGAATTAATCACAGAGAGAAGTCGTCATCGCTTTAGCTTATAAACAGTGTGTGATGTTACACAAGTGGCTAAGTTAAGTCGAGATAGGCCAAGTACCTAAAATGACAAAAGTCATATAAATTATCCAGAAAGAACATAAGATGAAATAAAAAATGCAAGATGAATGTAATCTGTCAAAATTTATCACGGTTATTAACATTGCCATGCTAATCAACGTAATCAACATATGATTAACCATCGTATGTGAGTCAAGCAGAAGTGATATGACTAGTGATACTACTGAGTTACCCAAACTGAAGTAGGTGGAGTGGGGTTCGAGAAGACGGTCTATTGGGTGAAAGCTGGGAGAATTAACTATCAAATCACTTCTTAAGAGCACTAAGATATATCGTTCTCAGTATGGGGTTGTAGGGATTGCTGAATTTTTTATTGAGATCATGAACCGATCGATGTTAGACCACCACTGAAAACCTGGGAGCAGTGGACGGCTGTTTCTTCCTAGTATGGGACTCCACAGCAGTGTGCATCCACGGTTTTGCTGGCAGGGTCCGAATCCATGACCTTCGGTCTTGCGCGCGAACGCTTGACCTCTAAATCCCCGAGCCGGCATCATATTAGTGTTAGTGTCTAACTTCAACCAATCCACGAAATTGTGCGGCCATCTTCCATTGTCTGAGGTAAACAACTGTCTCTACCTGACATGGATTAGCGCCACCGGTCATAGCTTCTCATTAGAACTTCGAGAATGACCTCTCGAAGCTAGTCACTAGTGAGCACATGGTAATTATCAGTATGGGGTTGTGGAGCTTGTTGGTCTAACATCAATCGGTTCATGGTCTCAATCAAAAAATATGTCGTTTTGGTGTTGTAGACGATCATAACACATCAAACTGGGAAAATTGTAAAAACCTGGTAACATACGAACACAAAATTTGTCTAGGAACTTTCAAACACGATAGTAAAACTAAAGTGCGTGAACACGTTCGAGAGAGATGATATAAATTTGACAATTTGTATCATTCAAAGTAAATGATCCATGAAAAGCGCAAAACTTGATGAAACTTACCCTATGCTTGGACGGAGCCACTGCCAGATGATGCGTATTAGTAAATGATATGGGTAAACTATGATTGTCCAAATAATCGATCTTTAATAAAACAAAAATATAAAACAATTTTCAAACACTGAATGAGAATGCATATGATGAAAGCAATTATGTAGTTAGGCCATTAAATTTTTAGACAGAACATACGACTTATTCTTACAAACACTTTGATCCCACCATAAAGTATGAAGAAGAAACTTATGCTTAGCTACTTATTGGCTTATGATTATTCAAACCAATGTAGCACAGTTTTTCCCTAACGAGATCATTCTTAGAAACCTAGAAACAGATCATTTGGTTATATGTGAACAACAATGAAAAAATCATTCTTAAGATTTAGAAATAATTTTACTATTATCTACAAACCAATACAAAGATTCGATTCCATTTGAAGCAGAAGACGTAACAACCGAATAAGATCAGTTTAATGTAGTTGGTACAATAAATTTTATTAACTGAAGGGAGCACTATTTATTATTATTTTTTTATTTATTTAAACACATAAAAATTGGTACAGGGATGCACCAAATAAATATGTGTCACATAAATCATTCGATTTGTGTGAGGGCTGGATACTGCCCAGGTGCCCAAAGCGAAGCAGGGAGCACTATACAAAGGAAAAAATAGATTAGTAGATTGACAGTATGATAACTGAGGACAAAAAACTGGCAGAAATAGCAGTACCAAAGCCAGAGTATTTCTAGAAACTTGCTACCTAAGTCAATTTGCAATTAGGAAACATGTCGATCATTTGAACAAATATGAACCAATCAAATAGTCATCAAACAACAAGTCAATCGAACTGCAGATACAGTAGAAAATGATAAATATCTAGAAGCAAACAAATAAGGTCGCTAGAGTGGAATGTCGTCAAATATCAAGCATTTTTCTATCAGAAACGTTTTTTTCCTGTTGAAAGAGCATTAACTGTACATCATTTCAGATGAATCTACATCACTGAAAGTACAGAGAAATGTAATAATATGTTCGCTTATTAATATGAAAGAAATTTTTATTATTATTATTATTATTATTATTATTATTATTATTATTATTATTAAAAAAGCACATCCATAGGTGACAAATTAGAAATAAGTAGAAACTAACATACCAAAAATAAAAATGAACTTATGTCAACGACCAGTTAACAAAATATATCGTATATGATGACTTATTAAAAATTAAATGGATAGTTATGATAAATTTATATAAACGATGAATCCAGAACTACTGAGAAATGCTGTAATTTCCAAAACATTGATCAGAGTTAGGTAAAAAAAGAATTTTTCAAACAGCCATTTAGAAATTTTTAAACCTCATGTCTGAAGTTGGGTTTGATTCCCTGCAAATCGCATCCTCAATGGCTAATTCTCAAAGACAATAGTTTTTCTATAACCATTCATTCGTTTCATACTGAAATGTTTTCGGTAAGAATTACAATAAACCTTCTGAATTATCTTTTGATTTGACAAGGTTGGAAGTTTGTTGTGGATAGTGGTAATTTGTGTTGCGTTACTGTGTCAGGCATTCAAACTGAGTAGCAGTTAGACTAGCTGTGACGGTAATTCGTACGTACAAATTATCATATATGACTGTAAGGGCGCTGACATAAATTATCCAACTACACAAACTTTGCCAAAATTAATGAATTCGAGAAATGGACTGACTAATTGAAAGTTGACTGTATTGATTGATGATTCAATTTCGATAGCTAGATTTAGAGACCATTTAAAATGGAGTTACAGATGAAATTTGAGGTGATAAGCTGACAAAAATACAGAAAAAGAAAACAACAATAATAGCTCACCACAACAAGATCAGATGGTTCGAGGACGAGACAGTCATTACGGCGATAAAAATTTCCATTTGTACGGGTTCCAAAACTGTGAATAAAGAACACCAAAAGCTAACTATATATATAATGGTCGTAAAATTAAGGTTTTTAAAGCTGATCTCATTGGAGAGTGGTTATTTCATTGAAAAAATTCAAAAACCTAGCCCCCTGAAAATAATTTGGGATGTGATGAGATCATTACCATATACTCAAATTATTTCGAGAATTTGAATATCTCATCCGTCATCAAAACGGTATAACTTTCTATACAACCTTAACTAAGCCTGACATAAGCCTGATGTCCTAGTACTGAGCACGACATATGCGCCAAAAATTTTCGAATCTTGAGAATTGCTTTGTTTGAATGAATCATACGATCACCTAAATCTGCGAACGGAACGAAGACACAATGACTACATAAGCTAACTATTCAGATGCATCCCAGCCCCGCTAACTAAAGAGAGAAGTCCAGGTTCAGAAGAGGGAAAGTGTATTCCACAATCCGCCAGAAGCTCGAACAACAACAAGCACAAGTCAAGCATATATATACAGCACAAAAATGTTCTTGGGAAACGTTACAAAATAGCATATTAAAAGAGGCAACGGACCAATAGCATTTAAGGTCTTCTCAAGTGGGAAATATGATATGAAGATGAAAATGGAGGCTTTCGATGAGAAAACAAGAAATTCAATTTTTTAAAATATAATTACAAAAATAAAGCATTTACTAATTGAGCTCTGGGGATTTATCATCCGAAACATGACTTAGGATGTTATGATAATTAAACCAATTAATAAAAGATTATTATATGAAAATTTCTGTCATTTAGTTCAAGTCAAAATGTTCATTCCTAATGACGTTGGGGAGAACTGTGTGATATGTATATCTTAACTAATGCTTCAGTTATTGAAACCCCATTAAATATTACAACACTCGTTAAGATTATATGATATTTTCTTATTCGGTTTTACAGTAGTTTTATAGTTACGAATAGAGTTGGGACACTGATGTCATAATCCACCTAAAGGTATCGTCAATGTTGTGGTAACTTGGAAGCCCAGTAAACTGTCCCAGCATTGTCTTATGAATCTATCATTATTGCCTCCTTATCGAAAATAGACTTGACAAGTCATCGGTTAATCTCTTCAATAAGCACAAAACAATATCTAGTTCTTATATACTACATATCTTAATCCCCTGATTTTTTTACTACTCACCTCTGATTTTCATCATTTACAAAGCTTATGTTCAATTTGCATCTCATTCATATTTATCCTCTTTAGAGTTAGCCAACATAGATTTTCGGAAAGTCTATTAGGTTGAGCAATACTGGTGATATCTAGTAACTATTTTTTACATATTTCATATGAAGACAAGTTTAATTATAAAATTTTAGCGATTTAATCAATTTTTCTGTAAATAACATTTAAGAAAACGGTGAAAATATATCGAGAATTAAATACAATAATACTTGAGAATACACCAAGAAGCCACTTGAATATTTTTTGTAAATACTGATTAAAATAATGCCATTTCAAGACCAAATTATGAAAATGGCTACGATAAATGGGAATTAACTTCAACGGCAATCTTACAAATCATAAATCATGATGTACACATGAAACAGATTTAATTAAAGCCTAATTTGAATTGATCACATTTACACTGGATGTTATGAACTACACATGAATATATTTGAGGCAGGGGCCATCAGAAGTTTTCTTATCAGCGGATGATGAGTAATCAGGTGGCTGAACACAAGTTATGATACTGAATTCATGCTTATGCTAACTGACCACTTGATAGTAGTGACAAATCGTAGTATTTAGTTCGGAGTACTGACTGAATCCTATCAATCAAATTACGGGATGACCACAAGTCTATGCAACTAGGAATTTCGGTGTACTTTACCTAATATTGATTTGTTATAACTTTATGATCAATAAGTGCATACACAATTCAGTCCCGTAGATCAGTCGCAAACAAAGTAACTCAAAGGTAACGGCTCTGAATGCTAAATAGGTTTAAATCTCACGAGGAGTACATCATTTTCCTCAATATTGCAGATGAACTAACTAGCATGAGACCTGTGTACGGTTTTTTCAGTCGATCACCACTAAATTCATACAAAAGGCAATAAGAACAGTGACATAATACAATAGAAGACCATGATACCAACAACGAATTACATAACATTAAAGAAGTCAAATTAAATGTTGAATTTTTTTAGAATTACTCACTATGATCGAGGCAAGAACATGGAACTTTCAATTAATACTGATCCGCTTATCAAAATAAACCAAGAATCACACCATTCACCAGTGTGATACAACAACATATCGCCTGGAACACGACGATAACGTGCGTAACGACTGATTGCGCGTAATTCATCATCTCGATATGCTGATGATGGGCCAGAAAGATTCAACCCTTCAATTGTACGAAGATAACCAAATATGAAGGCATTCTCCTGAAATTGTTTCAGAACACAGGTTTGAAGGGGATTACTTACGATTCCAGATGAACATAATTGCAAATTTGTGATGACGTAATTACAATTTAATTAACTAAGAGTCTATCAACCTTCAATTAAAAAAAAACTGAATTAAGTAATTTTCATTAATGTCTTTACTTGGTTTTAAAGTTGGAATTGAAGATAACCTATTTGTTACAGTACGAAATGGCATGAAAATGCAGGTGAGTGTAACAGAAACAAACTAAGACTTACAATGAAAATAACGGTCACGAATATTACTAGTTTCTTACAATTGTCAAAAAAACGCGAATTCTCATAGACATTAACACATTTACTAGGATATTTTGAAAAGCACCAGTGCCATAAGTGTAGTGTGCTGCGATAATATTTGGCTTTCCAATTTTCGGAGAAATTACGATAAAGTCAGTTCATAAATTTGATACAGATTCATAAAGAGAAAGCTACTTTTTCCTGACACATACTACAGACAAAATCAACTTCCAGTAATCTAACCATCATACTGAATATAAAGTTGATTTCTCCCATATATGATCTTTTCTTAAAAGCTTAAAACATATTTTCTGGATGTAAACAATGAATGAGAGTACCACCAAAACTGATGAAATCGGATTAGCAATGTAGTACACACTACTTTTAACATACTGAACAAGTTCCGCATTTTCACTAGGAGAAATATCTGATTAGTCCTTTTACAACCAACCAGTGTGACCAGACGATTCCAAAAAATACTAAGTTTCCCATGCAATATATATATAATTCTTTTGTCTAGACCGTTATGGGCTTTCATTCAGTTGAACCATGACGTATAGCTATTAAGGGCTATAAAAAGGAAACAGTAGTAAATAAAACACAATACCATATCTAAATCCTGAAAAGACATGCTCAGAATGATACCGGAAAATCGTATTTGTTGGTGCGCAAGCTTCAGGAAAGACAGGAAAATTTTGTGGTGACCATATTCTACCGAAACTATTTCGAGAACTCAGTTTTGAAGAAAACGGTAACACAACTTTCTGTCGTTCTGGAGAATCAATTGAATAATTATGGCACTTAAATATTGTAACCTACGAGTTTAAACACTAATTTGCTCTTATTGAAATACAATCAGTCTACGTAACTTGTGTTTACTGAAGCTTTCCAACCTCTCCATAGGGTTGAAGTTCGAACATGTCTCCTGGAGAAACTTCATGGAAATTTTGAACACCATAAACGCCGATAGACGAATGCAAGTGATCCCATAACATGAGGCATGATAACACATCAATAAAACGGGTAATTTCGATTCTATCATCCAGAAATGTAAACGGCACTACCAGGTTTAAATTTCTGAATCCTATAGCGTCAAAGTCGATCCAGAAAAAGTTATCGTTTGTTGGTTATGCAATGGATGACACTACATACGTCCTTGGAACGAACTATTATACTCAGAAAGAGTATGCTACGGTTTCGATTGCCAACGTTCGAATATGTTCTTAGATTGACATAGTGACAAATATTACTGTTATTTTCAAAGGCGTATATAATTGGTTGAATGTCAATAACGTAATTAAATAAGACTGCTCAAAATGCATCCACTGATCCTTTGAAAATTTTCTGCAAACCGATATGTGAATTCTTTCAACTAATTACCCAAAATTGTTAATCTGAAATAAATAAATGCACAGAGAAGATCCCACATTTGTGTTGGAACCGTTGGCAAGATTGCGACCTAATTATTTGGCTTCACAAGAAGTGGGAAGAGCAGAGACAGTAATAGAAATGTCCACATCAATACCCAACTCTGTACTGAGGAAAGTGCTAAGCATGTACAGAGACAAATAGCTGAAAAGAAAATTGGTGACGCTAAGCCCAAGGTTTCTAAGCCGAAAACTGAAGCACCATCTGCTAATAAACTCAAAGCCCAAGGAAAAGAAGGTCACCCAGCCAAAAAAGCCAGGGGTCACTGTAACAAAGAAGCCAGTAACTACAGACCCGAAGAAGCAGGCAGCACATATTCGCTATGATATCGTACATGGTGTTGAGAAAGGAGCCTTGGTACAAGTTGGGAATAAAAGTAAGGCTGCATCTGGTAGCTTTAAAGAAGCCAATGCTAGTTTTAAACAGATTATGTATAGTTGGGACCAGGATAAGATAGCAAATACTCTTCTGGAAGGAGGTTGTGAATGGCGCTTTAACCTTCAAGGAGCTAGTCATCGAGGTGGTGCATGGAGAGGCATTATAAAGTCAATAAGAATTCTGCGATTATTAGTGTTACATAAGCTATTGACGTACGAGTCTTTGAAGAAGTTTTTAATAGAGGCTGAAGGAACACTGAACAGTCAGCCACTCATGAAGCTAGTTAGTGATTGTCAAATAAGTCATTGTTAGTCCATAGAGGTGCATCATTCAACGAAGCGCAGATAAGCAAAACGTGCTTATATAACAGGATATAGAAGGAAACGCAACAACTAGCCAACCTATTCTGGAACAGATGGTTACGAGAGTACCTACCAACCCTTCAGGCGAAATCCAAGTGGTTGGATATGAGAAATACACAACTGAAAAACTTAGTGTTATTGAACAATATGTGGTCGAAGGCTATAGTTAGACAGGTCAATTATGGTCCAGATGAATGAGTCAGAAGAGTTTGACTGAAGACAGTAACCGAAGAGATCAGCCGGGATATACGGACATGTGCCTATTGGAAGAGGCCGATTATTTGAGCGCGACAGTAGCGAAGCCTGGACTAGCCAATCAAATCGTTGCTTAAGCTCCCATCACGTCAATCTGGTCTGGTGTGTCTGTAAACTATCCCTGTTGCATGTGACCTGCCAACTGAAGGACACTATTATCCTGTTATATTAGTGTAACTCGTAATTTTTATTCATTTCCATAAAACATGCGTTCCAATTGACTATAGTTCCTCTAATTATTATCCTAATCAAATTTTTACGTTTAGAAACAGATAAAGTTTGATATCGAGTTGTCCTTGTTCTGACTATAACTTTCATACAGACTATCGGGTCGCCAGTATTGCGTTTACAGTTCTAGTAGAATATCTATAGGGCAAATTAAATCCTACAATAACCAAGAGTAATCATGGAATATAGGCAACTCTGTGCAACACAATCATACCAATAAACTGGACAACAAACCAACAAAGTCGATCAGTATTTTTTTTAAAATTAATGCCCACATTATTTGCAAGCCTGTGGCATAACTGGACATAACGAGTTAATGAAAAAGAAATAGCACTGCAATTTTTCTAGCTATTTTCTGTTATCATACTAATTGATATCAAAATCAGACGAAGTGTTCTCAGTGAAATGAATGAGTGGGACACGAATGATACCTGGGGCGATCTATGAGCTGGTACAATAGCCAACATACGAATGAAAGTCGAATCTTCATCCATAATCACCTACAGAGAAAAATAACGTAAATAACAAAGAAACTGATTGAAGAAAGAAGAAAGTACATGCAACTAACGATGTTGCCTAAAAACAATCATATTCAACTAGGTTTTATGACTATTGAATGAAACAGTAAGAATGTTAAACTTCTAAATAAATAAGCCACAAAAACTGAACTGTAACCAATTTCATACACAAATAGTGGTACCACTAGGAGCCAAACCAAATATGCACCACACGAATAAGATGAAACTGTGAAGAGGAACAGAAAAGGAGTAAAATCAAAAACAGATAAATGGACAAAAATGAGTGAATGGGTTCAGTATATACTCACCATTCGTCAGGTTCTAGAACACAGGCATACTTATTGGCGTCCGACAATCGTGATCTTTCTTGACTTAAAAGCAGCATTTGACTCTGTAGACTGCGAGATTCTGTGGCAGTGTCTGTCATTGAAAGGCGTACCACAGAAGTACATAAACCTTATAAAGGCTCTTTACTCGAACACTACTAGTCGAGTCAGGGCTTATGGCGAACTGTCATCTACTTTTGCAACATCAAGTGGTGTCCGTCAAGGCTGTCCACTTTCTCCATTTTTGTTTAACTTCATCATAGATCTACTGCTGGAAATAACTTTCTCGTTGACTGAGTTCTCGGGTATTGATCTCCATCCAGGTGGTCCACTTATCGACTTAGAATACGCAGATGACATAGTCCTGTTTGGTGAAGACGCTGATAAAATTCAGTCTTCTGGTAGCACTGAACAACAATGCCAGAATGTTTGGAATGCGCTTCTCTCCATCTAAATGCAAGTTGTTGCTTCAGGACTGGTCTGCGTCAACACCTGAACTAAGGATAGGGAGTGAAGTAGTCGAACGCGTTGACAACTTCACTTATCTTGGAAGTCTGATCAGCACTAATGGGTTGGTGTCTGACGAAATCTCAGCACGGATTCGAAAAGCTCGTTTGGCTTTTGCCAACTTACGTCACCTGTGGCGAAGGCGAGATATCCGTCTATCAATAAAAGGACGAGTATACTGCGCGGTATTTCGTTCTGTTTTACTTTACGGCAGCGAAACATGGCCACTAAGAGTTGAAGATACTCGTAAGCTACGAGTATTTGAGCACAGATGCCTTAGAAATATTGCCCACATCTGCTGGGATCATCACGTAAGTAATAGTGAGGTTAGACGCAGGGTATTAGGAAATGATGGTAAATCAGTTGATGAGGTTATGAATCTTCACCGACTGAGATGGTTGAGCCACGTGTTACGTATGTCTGAACACCGATTACCAAGACGCGCAATGCTAACCAGTGTTCGGAATGGTTGGAAGAAAGTTAGGGGCGACCAAACCAAAGCGTGGCATCAGTGCTTGATTTCACGAACTTCTAGTCTTAGCCATGTTGGTAGATACAGACTACTTGGTTGGGGTCCGCGTGACTATCGTAACCAAATGGTTGGAGAATCTTGGTGACATGGCTCAGAATCGATCACAATGGCGTCGGTGTATACACTCTCTGTCTTCCCTTAAACTAAGAGATTAAGATCGCTTCATATCTTTCTTTCTACGAACCAATTTTTTCTTCTTGTACTATATCTCTATATGCAATCTTTCTTTTATATATTACCACCTCTGAATTAACTGCTTTTATGAATCCGGTGTCCATATTGTTGTGTTAATGAGGTATGGCAACTTGGACCGATGCACATATGTGCCTGGTCCTACGTTGTAGCTGACTGACTGACTGACTGTATATAATAGGAAACAGTTCAGTAAAAAGTACAAACAGAAGAATCCTTCTATTTAGGGAAGTCCCTCTTGTTACTTTGAGAATCTAAAAGAAAACTACAGTAGAATAATCATTGGCTTCTATTGAGTCATCTCTGATAGTCTCAAGCAACTGAGTTGCTTCATCTCTCGGGCCCCAAACATGATGGACCGACAGATGTCTACCTTAAACAGTTTTCTACCATGCCACGGCAATATCATAAACTAACCGCCTCACTTTTCCGGTTTCATCCTAATATCGGCAGAATTCTCTGGGATGACATTTATGACGCTGAAACTGGTGTTTTAAGGTGGCAGCACTAACTGAAATATTACCATTGACCAAGAACAAACCCTGCCAAATATCCGCATTACTAACATAACTATTCTATCGGATGTCGGCAATCCTCCGGAGACAACGATGATTAAACAGAGTTGCCCGATATCACCACCTAGAAGAGGTCAGTACTCACAAGCCTAGAACAAAACTGCTCTTGCCGATGCATTGTAGACCCGACCTTTAACAGCCAGATGCATTACAACGGTGCCCAAGATGTCCCAGATCGGTATAAGCCACTCGGGCCTCCAGTATAAGTAGATTATTTTCATCACTCACGCCATCATTAATACTCACACAACTAACCAGATACGAAAACTTTCGGCTAATTTGAACAGCTCACTATCAAGAGTGCATGAATAGGCTCCTGCCAATCTTGTATTTATTTATTTGAACATAAATATTGGTACAAAGGGATACCGAATACATATGTGCCACACAAGTATCTCGATTTGTGTGTGGGCTGTGATACTGCGCAGATGCTTCGACCGAAGCAAGTGGTTTTCTTAGGGGGCGACGCCCGGAGCCTTCGATCTAGAGGTCTGATTCACAAGGCAATGGAGCAACGTCAGTAGGTGCAGTCCCATGGTACCCTATGACAAAGGATTGGTTCATACGCCATTTTTCCATTCGGGGTTCCATGTGCACCATTGGTTTGGAATCAGGGTTTTCCAAGTCCCTTAGGTGGACCCTACATATCCACTGACCCGCTTTCGTCCTCTCAATTTCGTAAACAACACTCCCACTGAGAGAAGGCAGTGAGGAATGTATCGTGGATAAATCTTTCAGTTGCCAAACAGAAAAAGGCTGAGGTTGAATGTAAAAAATAATTGTACTTATTTCTGCACTTTAACTGATAAGTTCTGCGTTAACATTTAGAAGCCTAACCTGCTAAATTTGCTACTGTCCATTTTTATAGTCTCAAGGTCGAGTGTGGAAAGGGGATATACTTCAGCTGTCATATGAAGGACATTTAACTGTGATGTGGATACTAGAGCACGTTTTAATCAAAATCACATCTTCCTACTAGAAAAAAGACGTGTGACCTAACGGGACTGGACTAATCTGAGAGGGAATGCTTCGAAACAAAGGTAAATTCAAAGAAACGAAATTGGGAAAGGCTATCAACGGTGACTAGACCAGCGGATAGAAACTAGTGCCGTAAAAAGATAACTACTAATCACAGTAAGACAGAGAATACGTGCTTCTGTCAAACTGCTATTGACTTTGACTTACATGACAAGGTGCTACCAACCACATGTTTTAAATTCCAACGCGATGCCACTCATGAGTCCTACACTTTACTGGAGAATTCAATGTAGTTTTACAAGAAACCACATATAAACAAATTTTATGAGATGCAAATTACGGATAGTTGTGGAGATGTGATGATAAGTATTGCAATACTAAGCCACAAAGTTTGAATGACATCAGTAAAGCCTAACTAACTTCCGTACGATATATAATTAAAAGTCAGGTGTAAAGCCGGTTAACTAGCAATGTATAATAATATGGAGAAAATAGACCATTTAAACCAATGTTCTAGTAAATTACTTAGAACTGAGGTGATGCCGGTGAGAATAAAGACTATACGAAAGAACTACATTGAGTATGGGGATTTTTGACACATCTTTACCAAAACCAAAGATAAACTACGAAACGTGGATGTGATGTAACAATCTTCAAAACTCAGAAGCAATTTAAGCGAGACTATAGTTTGTGGATGAACCAATAGGATATAAGATAATAGTTCTAGGACTATATAGTCCTAGTTAGTTTCTAGACATCATCATGATCACTTTAGCGCCGCTCAAAGATCGTCTATAAACTATAGTCTCACAGCAACTTATTTTTATTATGTAATTATTACCCACCTTTTGTTAGCTAACATAGTAAGATCGCAAACCCTCAGACAAACGGCATAATAACACATCCAAATCAATGGGAGCGCGGCTTTATTTTCGACAATAGATGCACATATTCAAACTTCAAAGTTTTCTGGCTAGAAGTACTAAACTATTTGTTCCTTAGGGCCTAAACTTGGGTAGCATAGGTAGGTTCATCATATACAGATTTTTTACCTTTGTTATGTCCGTTATGAGTCTAAATCGTAAAACCACTGGTTAACAATGAGAAGGTTAGTCGAAATATAACATTTAAATTAATCTCCATAAGTGCTTATAGAACTCAAGTGGGGATTTAGAAGATGATACCACTTCCACTACAGGCAGTGAACTGCTTAATTTGCAGATCCTAGCTAGAAGAAATCTTGGAGTGGAATTTGATGGTAGTTGCTAGCTCCACAATAACGAATCAATAGTGACAGTTATAAAGCATAGATCCTGCTTGAACTTGCGCAGATTTTGTCGCTGTGACACATTTATAGCAATTGCATGTGAAAAGTCGAAATATGAACATTTCACCTGAGTATGTTTCATGCATTCGATTCGACAGACAGACGAAAAGAAATAGGTGTGAATTAGTTGTTGAAAAGCTAAGTAGATAAGTTATAGATCAGGAGGTCCATATGTCGGTTTAGAAATGCATAAATTACAGCAAACTAACTAGAAATTAGATGGAAGATGAACACAAGACATACAAATACCGAACGCTAGGTCACACAAAATAGTAAGATTGAAGGTCATATAATGGCTTACCAGGTTATAGTGATGAGTTTAATGAACAAATTAAAATAGACTGCGCAGTTTTGTGATACGATTTGCTTTGTGATATGCTCTTAGGTGTATTAAATAATAAAAGTGACCTGTTCTAGTCGAGAGTACTATCAGTGATTTAGTGTACTATGATGATATCTCCACCCCACAAACCTTCTATACTGTGAAGTCTGACACTTTAAACCTGACGGGCTTGTTTAGTAAGGTTTGAATTCTAGTC